AAAAAAAAAAAAACCCCCCCCCCCCCCCCCCCCCCCCCCCTATGGAATTCCCAGCCAGTTGCTGCAAAACTATGACGGGAGGCGTATTGCTCCTCTCCGAATGATGTGGGAAGGCGTGTACGATGTTGAATGACGTGTCGCACGCCCAGTTGGTGACAAGGTCGGCAAGCCTTTATGCATTCTAAAGTAGTGGCTGGCCGATAACACCGTCCACCCGACTACCCAGCTCGTTGATGACTGGAATGTACGTAAGGTATGTAGCACCGATACATGACAAACATGCACGGCGTGTGCGAGAAAGTCTCCTTCGCCGTCATCTCCCTCGTCTTCGTTCAAATCTATGGCACCTCCTACAACCTTACCGCATCATCGAGCACGACCTTTCCCTAGCTACCAATCTGGTGATCTGGCCTGCGGAAACAATGCCCGGTCCTCTCGAGGACGCGCGGTCAATGGTCTGACAACTACGGCTTGCAAAACATGAGGACGTCCCCCTTCCCCCTTCCCCTACACACAGGACGAGCACCGGGCGAAGCCCGAGGCTGCTGCGCCAGGGATGAACAACCCGGCGAAGCGGCATCACCCCGATCCGGGAGCCGCGGCGGCGATGGCGGCGATGCACGAGCACCACATGGCGGCAATGTTCGCCGCCAACGCGGCGGCAGGGATGGCGGCGATGCAAACGCTTCCCGGGCTGGCGCCGGGGCTGGCGGGGCCTAGCGGACCGGGGCCTCACCTGAAGGACGAAAAAGTGGAGGTGAAGGGGGGGGGGTGGGGGGAGGTGCTCATGTGAGCGAATGCCGTAGTCGGTAGATCGTCGATCTCGCATGCCGGGACGGAGTGATATGCCGGGTTTTCGCCGGCCCAGGCTACTCATCTCACAAGGATGAACCAGAAGCTGGTGATCACCACCCTTGCGTTTTTTGGGAGGGGTAAAGGGTATAGCCTTTTGCTACTGTTATACCGTGGCTCATGTCGTGACATCACTGACCTATTCACGCCCAAGGCCTAGCATCGGTCTCTGTTCTAAGGCTACGATCGACAGACAGACAACAAAAGAGTCGATGTTGGCAGATGACACGAAAAGTTTGTCCTTTCCACGCCGAACTTCACTCAGCCCTGGAACCGCCTCTCGCCACACCCGAAGATGCAGGCGGCGTGTTTCATGCATGCGGGCCTTTCCTTTTGTCCTCTCCCTCTCACCTTGCAAGGGCATCCACGTTTTCTTGTACTGCGACGCACCTCCGAAGCACAGTGCTCCCCCGTCGCGCCTGCTACCTTGGGATCCTACTAGCCATGTTGGCGGATGTTGCTGTGCTGAAAGGCTTCACTCTGACTTGATGGCCAGGATTGGCAATTGATTCATATCCATCAGGAATCCATCCCACAACAGCCTCCGTTGGCCAAAGACTACAGACCGCAGTTCCTCTCTTCCATCCCTCGGTGCCGACGCGCCTCCGTTTCGCGCGTTTTTTTTTTTTCTGGCTGCTTGCTGCAGGCGCGTGTTTGCACGCTGCTGCAGGAGAACATGGCCCTGATCAACAGCATCCGCGAGAACATGGTGATGGGCAGGTTCTTCGACAACCACCCCCTGATGATAGCCTTCGACAAGAACGTCAAGGAGGTCACCGCTCTGCTGGCCACCCTGCCGTTTGCGGAGATGCAAAAGCTGCCCGTTCAGGTGAAAGAGAACCGCACGATTTTGGACGTTAGAGTGTCGGGCTGGAGGGACGAGACAAAATGGTGTTTAATTTCAGCCCCAGAAAGGGGTACAATATGTGTGGTGTACGTTGTACTCCAGGAAATACAGTTTTGCACAAGTGCGGGAGAACCAGAACCTATACAAGTATAGTGTTTTTCGGGACTGCGATGAAGCGCGGACGTTCTACTCGACGTGAAAAAGGGGCGTTGTTTACATCGGTCGCGGACTTGTGGTTCCATTGGAGTTTTCTTTCTCCGGCCTCGCTCACGCATCACCTCCCACCCCGGTCCCCCCCCGTCCGTTTGCGCCGCGAAAACTCGACACACCGCGGACGTCGTCGGGAATGAACAGATCAATCCGTACTTCATCACGGGCTCGCTACCGGCAGGCGTGGGTGTACAACAACCGGGGTCGCCGAGCCATCACGTTCAACCCCCGCCCGGTGGCGCCGCCCCACCTCCTGCACCCAGCGGTGTTGGCATCGCCGGCCATGTCGACGAGAGCTCGAGCGGAAACGGGGCCGTTGAGCGCAGCGGTCAAAATGACGCGCAGCCGGCGGGTGGCGTTGCTGAACAACTGGACCCCTCTCCTGCTCTTGCTCCTGCTGCTCCTGCTGCTCCTGCTGCTGCGGGTGGAGGAGGACCGCCCGTTGTTGACTCCTTGCCACCACGTCAACAACAGCAGCAGCCGCAGGAGCAGCAGCAGCCGCAGGAGCAGCAGCTCCGGACGCCTGTTGCAGCTCCGCCGCCGATCGCCACGCCAGCGCCACAAAATCTCCAACAACAACAAGACTTGCAGAAGCAAGCAGCAGCGGCGCCGGTACAATCGGAGGTAGCGCCCAACGCTGCAGGCCTGATGGCGGCGCCGGCGCCGGCTGCACTAGCGTCGACCACTGCAAGTACGCATCCGACGGACCCAGCGGCTGAAGCGGCGTCCATTGCAGCAGCAGCAGCAGCAGCAGCAGCAGCAGCAGCAGCCATTGCACAAGCACCAGCGGTGGTAGCAACCTCGATGGGACCGATCGCGGAATTGCCGGCCGATTCTGCCGTTAATGGTGGGGACGGGGGCGCGGGGGGCAATAAGGAGCCTCTCGCAGAACCGTCGGCGGTTGCGCCGCCAGAACCATGAGGCATTGAGAGAGCAGAAGGGAATGCGACAGAGTGCCCGTGCTCAACCGACTACGTCAGCCGTGGAAGGGGGACTGATGGGGTGAAGGGTGCGGCGCGGGCACTGCTTTTGGTCGTCGTGACTGGCCTGGCCTACTGCTGTAGTCAGAATTGTTCTCTCTTCTTTTGGCATGTACTGTACACAAAAAAGTAAATGGTAGTCTTGGAAGAAGGGGGTAGGGGTGAGGGGGAGAGAGCACGGTTTTCGTTGTTCCATCGATGTACTGTTCCTTGTTTTTGCCCTTCTTGCAATCGGCTCGCGAACAGAGCTAGCTGATCGCACCGAAAACAAAGTTGGTTTTGCGTCCGCAGGGGGGTGTACTCATAGTCGTGCATGCCGTAGTTGTTAGACCATTGACCTCGCATCCCTACAAAGCCGGAACGGAGCACGCCGGGTTCTCACCGGACCAGGCAGGGGGGGGGTATTTGCTTCCTGTTGGGTCTGGCCAGGTTGTATCTGTATCCTTTTACCTCGCCCGAAGCGCAGCACATAATTTGGTAGGCGGTTCGCAGACGTTCATGTTGTGTTTATATTTTATGATCCAACGTTTGTCACCCATTTGTTTTGTAACGCATCGACGATGAAGAGGAATCATCAATGCGCGTGCAGCGTTTTCAGGGTTTGTTTGCATTGTTACCATGTACAAACCTTTTACGCGGAGACCGGACAGCAAGTCAAGGCAATTTTTATGTTCGGTGTTTGGTTACACAAACTGGTAGAAATCGTTCCAACCGCGGAGTTTTTTTTTGTGACCCTGGGTAATCGGATATATTTCACCTGCTATGAAAGACTAGACCATACATCCCGGCTACAGCAGTACTGCAATTTCTATTGCACTGCGGGTGAGTCTCGGGGTTCACTTCGTTTTCTGACGGCCTGCCTAACAACTGCAATGATAACCAAACAGAGGGGGCACGAAAAACACGTCTGTGTGCACAGACCACAGACACGCAAACGCAGACAAGTGCCGTTTCGTGTCATCTTCAAATTCAACCAAAAAACACAAATCTTGTCGGTTTCATTCAGTGTGCAGCCCTCGATTAGCGTACGCGCAATCCCATGTATGCTGTACACAAACATGGTAGTTAGTTTCGCTTAGACTAGGCCCAAGTAGACCGAGACGATGCACAGCAGTCGCGTCTTTAGATATGCATATGAAGATGAAGAACAACGGGCGCATGCGGTCGATGGCTGAAACCGCCGATATATATTTGGAGGCGTGTTGACGTGAGGGAGGTGCACGAAGAGAGGTGACACGCCGCCTCTCTTCGTTCTGCCTGCCAAATCAAGTAGTGTGCAACTATAATCTAGGTGCAGCAGACACAGGGGAGCGCGGACAGCGGATAGAAACAAGATCTCGCGTGAGACAACTTCAACCCTACTACACGCGCAGCCGGCTGCTCTTGTTCTAGGGACGCTTCCCAACGGATCTCCTGTCTCTCCCGCAACCCAACTCTTGTCATTTGCTGAAAAGCAGCAGTAGCAGTACATGGAATCTGCCGCCGATTCAAGTTTGCCCCCCGCCGGCAAGAGCAGCACGCATCCCAGGGGAAGGAGGGGCAATGGCTTCCGAGACATGGAGATGTCAGTGGACTCGCAGAGCTTCGTGAACCTGGGCCAGCTGATGGGGAGCCGGCACGGGGGCGGCGGCGCCTCGAGCGCGGCCACCAGCAGCGGCGGCGAAACCACCCGGACAGGGCTCGAAGACTTCGCTTGCACGTCTTTCCTTTCTGATGACGACGATGACTCCGAAGGCCTCCGCGACTTCGACCAGATCTTCCACCCGGCGGCCACCAGCACGTCGGGCGCGCGGTCATCGGGGCGCGAGCTGTACGGCCAGCAGCGCCACCGCGGCGGCGGTGCAGCGGATCACCAGCACGGAGACGGAGGGGTATTGGACGACGACAACGACAGCGTTTTGCCGGCACTCCCTTCCCGCAGCTCAACCCCGGGATCCCCGCGGGGCTACTCGACTTCAAACAGCGGCAACAGCAGCAGCAGCAAGCCTTACTTCATTGCCCCGGCGGCGAGTGCTGCTGGCGCCGGGTGGGTCGAGGACGACTTCGGCTCGGGTGCCAGCGCCCGCAGGGGCGGTGGAAGGGTGGGACACGCTTCTTGTGATCACCGCCTTGCGACAGGGGGCGCGCCTGAGAACAATTTGCCGCAGAACACGGATATTACAACCCATACGAAGACTACGCCTGCTGCTGGTATCACGTCCCCCGAGATCCAACCCGGCGGCAGCGTCGCCCAGCAGAGTGGGACGTCCCAGACCGCCGCCACCGCGGGCGGAGAAACCGCGGCTTCCGGCAGCAGCACGCCTTTCCTGCGCGAGTCCTGGCTGCATGTCCCCGTTGGAGACGACGACGAAATCAAGTCGGAGGCAGCCGCATCCTCGAACATGGACGATGACGACTCTCACGCTGAGGAGGCCGGGGGAGCAGCGTTCAGCAGCCACCGGCACCGGTACCCCGAGGCCGCCGCGGCAGCCGCGAGGGCCCGCCGCGCCGCCGCCCAAGCTCTCGGAGATTGCGGAGATTGCCTCGTGCGCGGCGTGGGGAGAGCGGGTGCGCTCGCGAAGGCCCGGGCCCTCGAGGTCGGTCGGGCGGTTAAGGTTCACGTCGACGCAGGGGCGGACGCGTGCTCGAGGGGGCAGAAGGCCGCGGTGAAGGCGGTGGACAGCGTGCCGCAGGCTCCGGGTAAGGGAAGCAATAACTTTATGGTCCGATGTTTCTTGTACTGTATGTTGGGGGCATTCCGCCGTGTCATGACTGACTCAACCCCTCTTTTCGAGAGTGCGCTTTTGCATGTTCTGAACAGAGCGAAGTTTGGATTCCTCAAGCAATACGTGCTCATAGCGCGTTTTGCCCGAGTCTTCAACCGTAGTAACTTGCTGAATTTTCTCGGTTATTTGCCAATACTCGCATCATCCCCTCATGAACCTAAGCGCAAGGACTCGCTCCGCAAGTGTCAATTAGGCCCAAGAAGTCTGTAGTGTTGTTACCTGTCGTGCAGCGACGTCCTGTGGCAAAGGGACTATGTTCAGCGAGATTCGCTCTTAGCGCTCCTCTTCGATATTATCCACTGCAGGGAGAATAGGGCGTGGGTTCAGGTTGGGTAATGACGAACGCAGGCCGAGCAATAGAACACTAAAATAGCGCTGTGTTGTCGCCGGTGACGCTCGGTACGCAGTCGCTTCACGTTTTTAGCATCGGACCGCACACTCTCATGCATGTCTTGTTCACCCCTCCACATCCCGAACTCACCGTAACAGTGCCCAACATTAACCCGACCCTTCCGCCCGGGTTCTCCGGAGTGTGCATATCTACGAATCTGGAATACCACAATACATTTCATTGCGTATTCGTCCCCGTCTAGTCCGGGGCCAGTTCTGCAGACCTCTTTCGGTGCACATTCTGAAGCATCAGCCGGGGTCAATGTCCCACAATGCCATCTATTTTTCATTTCCCACAAACTGCCGTCACCCTCCTCAATGTCCCAAACGCTGTACCATCTAATTTGTCATTTCCCACATACTACATGTACCATCCATCCAATCATTCCCCAACCTGCCGCAACCCCTCCCCCTTCGGACAAATCAGTGCGCGTGTGGCTGGGTCGCGTCGCTTTGTCCATCGTCGTCGGAATCGTGCTCGGCAGCGCCGCCACCTTCTGTGCTCTCCGCGCGGCAACCACGAAGATGGGCTCCGTCTGCGCCGGTGCCGACGCCACCTCGCCGTGGTGGAGCACCGGGGGCGCCGGCGATTCAGTCGGAGCGGGGGGGGCGGACCAGAGCTTCGGGGACAGGCTGGACAAGGCGCTGTTCGCGGCGAGGGCGGGAGAAGCAGCGGCTCAGCAGGGCTTGCTGGTGAGAGAGAGAGAGAGAGAGAGAAGCGGAATAGATTTGGAAGCGCTTCGGCGGGGGAATGGGTGGCGTTGTTTGGTTTCAGGGAACGGCGTAGGTTGTTGTTGGCTGAGGAGGGTGGTGTACTCATGTACACGTATGCCACAGTCGTTAGGCCATTTGGCCTCGACGTGTTGTTGCTCCTGATGTGCCGGTATGTTTTTGTTGCCGATTTTGGTTTGGTGAGGAAAAAATGGAAAAGAAAACGGGCCTCTTTCGGGACGACTTGCAGAAAAGACTTGACCCAAACGCACGCAGGCAGTGACAGACAAGTCTTGACTTTTAGGCGACAACCTAGGTTTTGGTGTTGGGGGCTTTGTTGACGGAACCAGCTCCAAAGCACGCTATGCTTTGATGTCCACCATGGCATCGGCTAAACATAGCTTCTCAGTTCTGCCGAACAAGGTATGATTAAGAGACGTCTGCTTGTCTCTCCCCACACCTCACAACACTGCTGTGCCCACCTTTGTGATCGTACAGTACACTACCGTACTACTGCTGTGGACCTGTTATGTACGAAGCGCAACGACAACGTCTTATTTTCCCACGCTTCGTACACTACTCGCCCCCCGGCGTGCTCGCAGGAGGACATGCGCAACATCCTGGCCGCCACCGGCGAGAGCGGGGGCATCAGCGCCGAGCAGATCCTCCGGCAGTTCAACGCGAAGCGCTTCAAGGAGGCTTCCAAGGCCTGGTCCGCCGCCGAGGGAAACGTCGCCGGGTCCGACCCCCTCGACCCCCTCTTCTTCGCTCCCCCAACCGCCCCTGTTAACCCTTCTGCTTCGGCCTCCCAGCAGCCGCAGCCGTCCTCGTCGTCGATTCCCCACGGAGCCACCCCGGCGACGGATTGCGCCGGCGGCGCTAGCGGTAGCACCTTTTGCTCGGCGGACAGCGGCGGCGGCGGCGGCGGGGGGGATTCCGTGCGCGCGAACATGGCGGAGTCGGTGCGGCGTGTGAAAGGTTTCCGCGACGGCGGTCGGCAGGAGTACCGTCGGCACTGCGGCGGGGGTGGGTGGGTGTGCTGAAGGGACGAGAGAGAGGGAGAGAGAGAGCCTCCTCAGCCTACCTCTACGTGCGTGCATCGTAACAATGTTTGGCCTGGCCCAACAGGGCTATGGCCGTCTCATCATGGGCGGACGTATTTGAAAAGAAAACTATTCCGGTAAGGAGGATGATACAACGAGCGCCAGGGGGGGTGTACTCATAGTCGTGCATGCCGTAGTCGTTAGACCATTGACCTCGAGCGCCAGAGCGCCAGGGGGGGAGAGAGAAAAACCAACTCGCAAAGAGGAAGGGCCAAGATGGTTGATTGATGGGCACATTGGCCGGCAGTACGTGGGAGGAGGTGCTGGTTTTGACTGCGGACGACGACTGCGTCCCCGCTTTCCTGAAATTTTCGTTTCCTCGTGCTGCAGCAGCATGCCACCATGAGATTGTTGTAAGCAGCAGCCATGCCCGGCCAAGAAGTCGCGGGGGGATATTTTGTACATTTTCGGTTGTTTGTTCTCCGGGATCGATTGATCCGCTGTCTTGTCAGATCGATCGGAATGCAGCAATCGGCATCTTCGTTTGCGGTAGACAGTAGCAGTACGCCAATCCCGCTCATCCACCAGCCTCGGCGAAATTTGCTGCTGTTGTAATCTTGTTTGTCCGCGTGCCGTGAGAGCTGCTCCACTTAGGCTGCGAAAATGACGCCTTTGTTCGTGGTGATGCCCCACACGGGTGTATGACGTCATATGGCGGCGGGTATGTATGTTTGGGTTGATTCGTGCCGTGCAGGCCATTGTTTTTTGTTGAAAAAAAAAAAAAAACGGAACATGTACATCTGCTTTGGTGAGAATAGGAGGAGTCGCCGGGTGGTTGGAAAATGGGTTGTACAGGTGGAGGAAGGGAAAGTGGTTGTATGTAAGGCGGGGAGAGAAGTTGGGCGAAGGAAGTAACGGTTGTCATGGAGACGTTGCGGGAAAAACGGTTGCGTAGGTGATTTTTCCTCCGTACGTGCCGCACTACCCCTACTACTGTAAATATCCTCCGTGTCAAAGGTGGGGGCCGAACCGGTTTCACCATTTCGACTGAGACGTATGAGCACACGGACATCTATATATATACCTTCCAGGACGTACGAGCCTAACGCCTCAGGCTCGTCTAGTCAAAGCTGCGATCAAGGCAGAAGGGGAGATGAAAGAATAGGCAGCGTGCACTTGTACAGAGATGATTTGTCTGTTGGAGGGAGTTGTCCACCTGGTGTATCTACCGTCCGCTTATTGTTGTTGGCAACCCCGATGAAAGGATGCGTGCTTTTGTAGTTTTTGGGGATAAATATACTGTAGTCCATGTCCGTGCGGCAGAATTTCTGCTCGCTGTGCACAAAGTACTTCCTGCTGGTAGAGACTGTTTAAGCTTGCGAGCCCCCCCCTCTTCTGTGGCAGTGGGAGTGGTAGCCAGGTTGGAACCTTTGGTGTTTGGTGGCATGGCCTAGCTGTAGAGTGAGAGAGCCGACTCCGTCGTGTGATGCCATCATGAGACTTGGTCCGCGCGAGAGAGTAGAATGTCGCAAAACAAGTTTTGTCCTTGTAAGAGAAAAATTGACAAGAAAAATGCGTTGTATTTTGCGATTTTACGGGAGAGGTTTTTGTTTACAGTGGTGGTGGTGAACGTGGGTGCAGCAGTTGTCGATGGGAGCGGTGAGCGTGGAGCAGCTATGTCGGTAGGAGCGTATTGTATAGCTGTCGTCCTCTCGCTGTCGCCTCTCTCCCCGTTGGATACTGCAGGAAGAACGTGTACGGGGTGTTGAAGGCGTGTTGATTGGAAAATCTTCAGGGTTTTCCGCCATTATCCTGCGTTCTGATTGGATTGTGAGCAAAAGAAGAACCTCGTTTTTTGGTGGGGATGAGCGTAGTGATAAGAATGGCCCACCGACGAGAGCGAGGCTTTGTCACGAAGACTGCGTTGCCGACAATGGTATGGTGCCTCCAACAGACCCCAGCAGAAAGAAAAGTTAACCATCGTTCCTCCTCCATTTTGGCACGTCATCAAGTTTTATTTTGAAGGTGCTGGGATATCATGGCGGCACGTGTTTTGCTAACGGGGCGCCGACTACCGCTCGGCCCCTTGTGGTGCTTGCGCGTTACTCCACCACGCGATCCAGAAGATAGCAAGGCATTGTTGTGCAGGATTTTTTCCTCCGACTGCGGCGGCTAATCTCTGGCTGAGCAACGCCGAACAAGAGGGCGTACCTCGTACCGTGCTTGTGGTCGAACCCATGCGTCGCCCTACTTAAGCAGTGCCCAGATGTCGTTCGGGAGACCAATCTTGCAAAAAGAGTGAAAAACGAACGCGAAGAACAAACACAGCAATCTTCGAAAGACACACCATGCGCATGCCACAGAGACAGTGGACTATTTTTCGTTCGCGTTTGTTGTAACGGTCGAAGTGCAGGATGCCTCCCCAGCTCCAACCCCCTTCAACTCGGGGGGGTCGTTACCGACTAACCCAACCCAATGTGCCGGGTACTGGAAAGGATGACCGCACGAAATAGAGTCGAAACCTGGATCCCCTAGCAAACAAAATCTGTAGCTAAATCGTGTCAACGAGAGTAAATACCATTCGACGAAAGGAGTCCCCCCTCACTCCCCGCTCTCTCCTCCGCTAATGATACTCCGACCCCCCTCGACCCAACGCACAGCAAGCACCGCCGCCGCGACCGAACGCGTGTCATCCAAGCCCGGAGGGCCCGCCTCTTGCTGGCGAGACGCTCGTGGCGGGCGGCGGCCTCCTCCTGCCTCGTCTCCGCCCACTGCTGCAGGGAAGCCGCTTCCCAGGATATCAACACCTTAGCCGAGATACATGAAGTAGTGACAAAGGGGGGTCAGTGTCGACCGGAGCACACCGACAACAGCAACAACAACAACAACAACAACAACAACAACAACAACAACAACAACAACAACAACAACAACAACAACAACAACAACAACAACAACAACCCAAACAAATGTAACCGTGACCGCTGTCAAATACATGCGATGCGTAGATTGAGTAACTAACCTTCGACGATAGTGTCCGTGCCCAGTGGACCGTGGCTATCTCCGCCCGGCTGCGCGCACGCCTCCTCGATGCGGCCGCAGCGCGCCACCGCCCTAGCCCGTAGAACCGCAAGAGGTGTCGCTCGGCGACGACGATGGCCTCGCGCCGCGACGTTCTCGCCCTGCAAAGAAGCCGGTATTTATTGCTGTCGATTATTACCATCGTGGGAAGTGATCATGATTATCATCTACACCTAAGAAAACCGACCTACCGCCTTCCTTTGTGGAACTGGCGACGCTATGAAGGTTAGCAGCAGCAGCAACAGCAATCCTGCATGCACTGCGGGTGGGAGCGGGGGCGGCGTTTGACGCCGAGGGGGATTGGTGCGGAAATAAACAGGCATCGCACCTCGCCACCCGGTCTAGGGCCCGCAACCCTGCCGACAAGATCCAGGAACGGTGCAACGCCGAAGCCCCTTCGTAGAGATCGGCGGCCGCGGCTCGACGCCGGGTCCACCCTCGCCACACAGCCACCGCGCGGCCGGCTAGGCGGCGCGAGAGGTGCAGCGTGCTGACTCGAATCGCTCTGTGTCCGGGCAAGGAACACGGCAAAGAACGGGTGCGACTTTCTTGGCCGAGGCGGGGGCCGGGGGGGTTCAAGACCGCTTGAAGTTGATGACACAGGGATGAAAAAAAAAAATGCTTGACATGATTTGCCCAAAAGGCGGACGCAAGGCAGCCGGATGCGTCACCATGGAGATCATCGGGCGGAGAAGACCACGTTTCTTGGCGCGGTGAGATAAGGATCCTCACTACACAGACCATAATCGCATTAGGCGACAACCATGCCACCCGGCGGTATGCTTTTTCACCGATCATGTTTAGCGCGTCGACCCAGTCTACCGGACAGCACCGACACCCCGTCTCTCCTCGCTTTGTCCCGCCGCCAGGCCTCTCCCTTGACGCACGCCTCCCGAGCCACCCTCCAGTCTCGCGCGGACTGGCGCCAGCGGGTCAGGCCAGCTCGGGCTGCGACGCGGAGGCAGAGAGCGGCGGCTCGCCGAACCATTCGCCGTCGTGACTCGGCGAGATTTCTGCGAGTTGCCGGGGGCGCGGCGGCGACGGAGGGACGCTAGGTTGCTCTTTCATTGTCATCATCAACGGGTGTAGATTACAAAAGGTAGAGTTCGTGGACGTAAAGGGGGGGCGCGGGCGTAGCGAAGGGACGCGAGTCCACGGTACTCCCGCGTGGAAGGACTACAACACCAATCAAGAACAGATCCGCTAAATCAACACTGATCAATTACAGATATACAAGTACGACATCAACATCAATCGAGGACTGCTTTCCTAACACTGCTGTCATCTTTTGCCCACCGCAGTCGCGCCACAACAATCGCCGCCCTTCGTCGTCTCCAATGCTCGTCCCCAACCCAAACCGCATCTCGAGGAGCCCGCGCGTCGAGAGCGCCGCCCTTCACACCCCGCAACCCTTTCCTCTTCAGTCGCCGAGCCCGGCTCTGTGCCGCTTCGGCCAGCAGGCCTCGCCGCGCGAGCCTGCCATCCACGAAGTCTCGCCACGCTCCGATCGCGCTACTCCGCAGGCGGCTCTCGACGGCCTCAACGACTGCCCGTCGCGCCGATCGCGACATCTTTCTCCCCCTCGTCGTTTCCCGCCACGAGCTCCAGGCGGCCTCCATCCGCAGCTGCTGGTCCCGACGCCGCTGTCGCCGCCACCGCGCCGCCCCCGGGTTCACAGCCGCCCGGGCCCGGTGGTCTTCCGCCGCGCGCGTGGCCTCCAACCGCCGCCGTCGCCGCTCCACCCAAGCCCGGAGCCGCCTCCCCGCCACCGCCCGGGACATGAAGAACGCGACGGCCGTGGCGCACCCCCTCGCCCGGCCGGCCTCGCGGGCCGCCCGGCACCAGGCGGCGAGCCCGCGCCTCTCCAGGGCGCGGCGGCGGTGCCTGCCTACCTCGCGGGAGTCTCGGGCGCGCGCCCTCCACGCCCAGAACGTGCGCCGCAGGAGGAGACTGGCGTCGCTCCGACGGTGCCACCGTCTGACGGCTACGATCGCCAAGGCCACGGAGGGCTTTCCTGGCCCTGCGCCGCCGCCGCCGCCGCCGCCGCCGCCGGAGGTCACGCGGCGCAGCCGACACTCCCTGCGGAGCAGCAAGGACGACTGTCTTGCCAGCCGTGCCGCCGTCGCTGCCGCCGCCGTGTTCCGGGACAGCAGGCGAGCGTGCGCGGCGCGCCACGCGGCGAGAGCCGTACGCTTGGAGAAGACCAGCGCGGCGGAGGCGAGAGAGGGGGCGCAGCGCCGCCGGAAGGCGCTGGTGGCGGCTGCTCGCGTGCGCCATATCCTGCCGGCGCGGATATTGCGCGAACGCAAACGGAGGGCGTCGGTGGGAGGGGGGCGGGTCGGGAAGGTAGCGAACCTTCTGCTGCTGCTGAAATGTCTGCTGGAATGCTTTGAAGGGAGGATGTCCAGTTTCTCGGTGTGGAAAAATAAGTATTTAATGTTGGGACGGAAAACACCACAACCACTATACATGCATACGCATCTGAGCTTCTCAGCGGGAAAATACGCCAAGGAAGCAGGACGTGACGCATGAGTGAGGGTGCTGAAGAGATGAAAATCGAATCAACCGCAGCACGATGCTCAAGTCTGAGCAAATTCCAGCGCAGAAAGCGCGTTTCTTCGATACGCTAAAATAGTTCCATCGTAATCGAAACCGATGCTTGTCACCGGAGGCCGGTGTGCAGTAGGTGATGCCACAAAAACGCCTCCGAAAGACGTTCCTCTAGCCTTCCTCGCCGTCCAGGTCTCCGGAGATCAGGACACGCCGATGATGACACAGATGTCTGCACAACGCTTCCCCGGCACCTTTCGCTGCTGCTGCCACCGCCACTGCCGCCGCCACTACTTGACGTCCTCCTGCTGCTGCCACTTTCGCCGCCGCCTCCGACATCCCCACTGCTTATCGCCCCCATGACGCTTCTACCACCACCGCTGCCACTGCGACTGCCACTACCCTGGTCACCGCTGCTACTTGTCGTCCTCTTGCTGCCGATACCACCGCCGCCGCCTCTGCCATCCCCGTTGCTTATCGCCCTCCTCATGCTGCTACCACCACCGTCACGGACACTGACTTCGTCACCGGAGCTACTTATCGTCCTCCTGACGCTGCTGCCGCTATTGCCGCCGCCGCCTCCACCACCGCTACTGCTTTTCGCCCCCCCGACGCTGCTACCACCGCCACCACTGACATTGCCGCCGCCACTGCTCGTCGTCCTCCTGCTGGTGCTGGTGCTGGTGCTGCTGATACTACGGCTGTCGCCCCTGCCGTCCCCGTTGCTTCTCGCCCTCATGACGCTGCTACCGCCACCGCCGCCACTACCGCTGCCACTCTCTTTGTCATCGCCGCTGCTTGCCGTCCTGCTGCTGCTGCTGCTGCTGCTGCTGCTGCTGTTGCTGCTATTGCCACGGCCGCCTCCGCCATCCCCACTGGCCATCGCCTTCCTGATGCTGCTACCACCGTCGCCACCGCCACTGCCACTACATTTGTCACCGCAGCTACTTGTTGTCCTCCTGCTGCCGCTGCCATCGCCGCTGCCGCCTCCACCATCCCCACTGCTTCTCGCCCTCCCGACGCTGGTACATGTACCACCGCCACCACTGCCACTGCGGCCGCCGGCATTTGTCGTGCTCCTAGGGCTAGCACTATCGCCGCCGCCTCCGACACCCTTGCTGCTTATCACCCTCCTGGAGCTGCTATCACCGCCACCACTGACACTGTCGCCGCCACTGCAGCCGCCGGTATTTGTCGTCTTCTTGGTGCTGACGCTATCGCCACCGCCTCCGAACCCCCCACTGCTTGCCCCCGTCCTGCTGTTGATGCCGCTGCCGCCACTGACACTACTAGCTCCCCTGATGCCGCCGCTACTTGCCTTGCTCCTGCTCCTGCTGACACTATCGCCGCTGCCTCCGGCACCCCCACTGCTTATCGCCCTCATGACGCTGCTACCACCACCGCCGCCACTGCGACTGCCACTGTCCTCGCGGCTACTTGTCGTCCTCTTGCTGCTGACACTGCCGCCGCCGCCGCCTCCGACATCCCCACTGCTTGTCCCCGTCCTGCTGTTGATACCGCCGCCGCCAATGACACAACTATCACCCCTACTGCCGCGGCCTATATTTGTCGCGCTCCTGCTGTTGATACTATTGCCGCCGCTTCCACCGCCATTGCCATCTCCCCCGCATATTGTCCTCCTGCTCCTGCTGCTCTTGCTGCTCCTGCTGTCGACGCTACCGCTGCTATTGATGACGTGTGAACGTCTCCTCGTCCCGCTGCTACCAACGGCACTCCCACTTCCACCGCTTCCAGCCCCCCCGCCAACACCCTCTCCCGCCTCCGAGGCCTGGAGTTTGCTGCGTGCTTCCCCGGCTGCAGCGGAACAAGCGTCAGCCGGCGGACCCATCTCGCCAACAGCAGGCACATCAAGTCGGGTGTTGGTCTTCAGCCCGGTGATGCGAGCAATACCTGACGCTCTCTCCGCGCCCGTGCCCTCCGAACTTTCCCCGCCACCTCCGCTTCCGCCGCGGGATCGCCGGCGGCTGCCGGCATAGGAGAAGCTTAAGCCATCGCCATATTCTTCAGGTCTAGTTCCAACCGCGCCCGCTTCGTCGCCTGACCGAAGATCGTTCGTACTGCGTGGTGGTTCTTGAGGCGTGCCGTCTGCGGTCTCGTCGTCGACGCGATCGGACCACGATATACAGCTCAGTTCCGAGGATGGCGCCCTCTCAGGAGTCGGGAAGGCAAGCACCACCCCCTCGTGGCTACCGGCATCGCCCCTTCCTGCTTCTCCTCCGTCGTCCCCTGGCACGCCCGAACGATCACCGACTAGACGCTCGTATCGCGACCCCCGTTCTTCGGCAGTACCCCGCGCCGACACCCGCAGTGGGGCGGGGATTGTCGACTCTTGCCTACCGCAGCCGTTCCCAACGACTACTAACCCTGTACCGTTATCGCCGAACGAGCTAAGCAGGTTCGAGTCGTCGGTCTGTCGATGATCGACGGGTGGGGACTGCCGCTCCCGCGGCGCCGATGCTGGTCGAAGACTATTTTCTGATCGCTCTCTCCTCGGTGGATGTTCCGAGGTCACAGAGCCGCCGTACGACATCATCCGCTGTTGCTGTTGCTGTTGCTCTTGTTGATGATGATGCTGATGTTGTTCGTCTCCGTCTCCTTCTCCTTCTCCGGCACCTTCTTGGCGTTGTGGTTGTGACACCGAGAGCCGCCTCTCTTCGTCGCGAAGCACGTCACACGTGCTCCCCAATGGAGGCCACACAGTCACCGTACCCCCTAAAACGTCGCGCCGAATCGCCGAACCCCCCGCGCCTCGAGGCACGCTATCCGGCGACGACGGTGGTACCCGACCCCCTGCTCCGTCGTCAACACCCTCCTCCCTTTGCACCGCACCCAGAGGCGGCTGCTGTGCCGCTACAATCTCTTCCGCGAACCTTGGCCGGGATGACCCCGCCCCTCCCGCCGGACGAAGACGCGCGGCAGGAACGCCAAGGGAAGCCGCCGGAATTTCCGGCGAACAAAGATCACCGAGACAAGGAGCAGAAGACGCCCCAACAGCATCCCGGACGTCGCTCCTCCGCACGCCTCGCAGGCTGCTCGCTCCGGGCCCTGCCGCGGGCATCCATCCACCGGAGAGTGTACGGCCGAGGTCGCGCCGCTGGTTGAACCGGAGATCTTCCGCCCCCAGCTCGGAGACCCAAGAAACGGCTGGCGAAACGTTCACGTCTCCACCATCACCAGTACGAGCACCGCTGCCGGTTGCCGTCGAGTCCTCCGATGTCGCCGGCCGTCGGTTGTCGGAACCACCGGCTGAAACGGAAACATCGTCGTCCGAAAGCTCATCCGCGCGAATAGCCACGGTACTCCCGCGAGCGGGAGGCCCCGCAGCGACGAGCGGTGTTGCGAAAGACCTATGCCTTGTACTGCTTGCGGTTCTAACCGAGGAGAGGGTCGGTGCTCTGGACAGTCTCGGCGGTGAAATATGCTGCTGTTGATGCTGCTGCTGCTGTTGCTGTTGCTGCTGTTGTTGCTGCTGCTGCAATTGCGTCTGCTGTTGTTGCTGCTGGTGTTGCTGCCTCTGCTGTTGCGTCTGCTGCTGTTGCCTCGAAGTGGTGGTCGCTTCACCAGCAACGCGACGTGGTGCCGACACCGGGGATGACGATAGGGACGACCCTGAGCCCGTCGCCGCCGCCGGTTCTCCCGACAAACACACTCCTCCAACAGACGCAGACAAGCTCTCGTCGCAACTCCTCTGCGATCTGCCGTCCTCGACCGCCACCTGCGCACTACCACCAATCGCTCGCGGCGAGATGTGGTCGAGAAGAACCATCGCTCCCGGACCGTACGGCACCGAACCAACGTCATCCTCCTCTTGGCGGAGGTCGCCATCCTTAAGGTCTGAGCTGCACGCGGTCGGTTTCTTCTCTGGGCTCGTTAACTCCGATGCAGGCGCTATCGTTCCGGACCCCGCTTCCTGTGGGCAGGCAGTTGCGGTGCGGTCTCTGCCGCCGGGGGTACCCGAAACCCCTGCGGACGTGGCAGGCACCGGTGGAGGTTTAGGGACAGCAGTCTCTGCGCGCTCGGCGGTAGCCAGCGTGCTCGAGGCTTCACGAGGCTCTCCCGAAATCGAGTGCCCAAGCTTCCCTTCCTCCTCGTCCCCCTCCCAATCATCAGAGTACGAGCAAGATTTGCCGCTCTCCGGCCCGTTCGAGCCGCCGTTACTCTCGGCAGATATCGCTTGCCCCACGGCCCCCGCCGATGTGCTTGCCTGTGATGTAGCACGCGATACTCGACCATCCAGCTTGAGCACTTCCACACCACCGTCGCAGCTGGCCGCGCCCATCAGCGCCGCGGTCTCGTTGCCGCGCCTTGTCCCGCCGCCCCTCTTGCCCCCTCCTCGATCACTCGGGCCTGAGCTACCCCCAGCCGTGCTGCATCGACCTCGGCCTCCATTGCTTTCGCCCGCCGATGCCGTGTCGCCGAAACCGCCGGCGATCTCCTCCGGACTGCCGCTTCGCCTTTTCTTCCCTTCACCGTCAAGCCTGACGCCGAACGCTTCTACTCCTCCTCGATTTCGCGCCGGCACGGCCCAGTCCATCGAAGCAGCGGCGTCAATTGTCCACCATTCCTCGAGACAGATAGGGCCAACACGCACGACGCCAGTTGCCGGGACCGAGCGGCATGCCAAGAGCGGCCGCGCCGTTGGCGGCTTCTCGTCTACTCCCTGGGTTCCCACAGTCCCTTCCACGCGTTCGTTTACATCCTGCCGCTCCTCTCCCCCCGGCTTCGACGCTTCGGTAGAGCCAACAACGGACCCTTCCGCTCCTTCTTCCCACCCTCCGGCTTTCTCCAGCGGCGGTGTTCTTTCCCCTCCACCCGAAGATCGCTGAGTCACTGTCTTCCCCGCAGCAGCATCTACGGGAACCACTGCTGACAATGGCCCCGGACCCGCCGCCGGTTCCCGGGGCAGCACCGTGGGCGCTAGCCCCGACCCTTCGCTATCATCATTATCGTCGGGTTCGGCCTCCTCCGTCTCTGGCAACTCCCGCCGGACGGACGCTTCGCCCTGCTGCCTTCCAGCACCGCCGGCTCGACTGCCGTCGTGATTCCCGGACACGCTAGAGGTGGCAAGCGGCGGGGGAGGTGGCGCCGACAGGGCGTCACGCCATGCGAGCAGCCGCCGCCGCTTCTCCTTGTCACCGAGGGAGTGCCCGACCCACCGAGCCAGGGCCGCCGGGAGTGCTCTCGACCTCCACTTGCTCGTGGCGATATTCTGTGAATCTCGGCACAACCTTTTGAGACGGGAGGATTCGGTATGGCGACCGCCGCAGGCGAAGGGAAGCGGGGACCGGGTGCGGGCATGAAGGGCAAGGTTGCTGCAAAAGGGGAGGAGGTCCCGCAGCATTGACACAGAGGGCACACAATCCAACTCATGCCATTCACCATTTGTGCTCACGTACAAAGCTCCGTAGCTGCTCTCCGTTTGCCGGATGGACCCGGCATCGAGGCCAACACATCACACGGGTCAACAGACCCCCAGAAAGTACCGAAAGAGGCGAAACTTGAACGCTGACCCAACAGCCCGGTGGTGTACCCATTGCTCCGTGTGAGACTTACCCCAGCATCTACAACTAATTGGGATGATTCCGGAAAACAATGGCACTTCGAGGGACCGGACCGTAACTCTAGAGGCCATCAGCCAACCAGGACACAACGACAACAACACCAATGCGCGGTAGGTGGAAACTCGTCACAGGGCAGGCGCACCCAAAAGGGTCAAGTGGGTCATGTCCGTGCTGAAGGATCGGGCAAGTAGGTATCCTCACCTTCGACTGCTGGTGTGGTGATATCTCGAACGGAAATGTCGCATTTCCGCGATTGCGTGAATATTTATGTTTTTCTTCAAGGAGGAAAGAGAAAGCGCTTGTTTTCGCACCTCGAAGCTCGAGCCCGCTGTCGCCACTCCTGCACGGCGTTGGGCACTCGCCACTCAGCGAAGTGCAGGTCGGCTAGATCGTCTCGCGATCGCAGCGCCATGCGCGCCTGCCAGTTCCTGCTCGCGAAGCCCGGGGACATACGCAACAGCAGTGGAAAAAGAGCAAAAGAGCTTGCAAACGTGAGGCTTGGAGCGGGCTATACCGCTGCCGTGCTGCAATCAACTTGCCACTTATACCATTGTAGCACGAATAAATCAGTCAAAACCAGCTCTGTTCTCACTCAAAAACGGTGCGATACTCCGAGGCAACTAACAGTATGCGTGTGCTGGCGTAAGAAGGTGTGTGACTTGCCCTGGGAGGACGGGAGGATCGTGGGGTCGATAAACAACAGACATCGACACCGCCACTTCCGCTCATCGCCCGAATGCGAACGTTGCCGATCGAGTTGTGCTAAGCGATGGTCATGCTGACCAAATGTGCTTGGCCGAGTCACGTGCATTGTTTGGCCGAGTGAACCGGTACGTATCATTTTCTCCCAATAGAGGTGGAAACGTCCTCCACCGCTTAGACCCCCGAGCGCGATAAAATAAGTCTGACCTTTTCAGCATGGTCACAACCCTTTGCATCTGCTGCGCTCGAGCATAGGTTTCAGCGACCCTAGCGGCTGCAGCAGCCGCGGCAGCGAAAGGGGTCTTCCGCCGATCTCTCTTCCTCCTAACCCGTGCACCCAAGCCCCTCAAGCCCCGACCCTTTAGCACGATGTCGCAATGCGAAACGGCCGTCGCGTGTCTCGCACCCCGTAGCCCCGCCCTCGTGCGATGGGCCTTCAGCGCCGCCAGCCCCGCCCTCCATGCGCGCTCACTCCACAACCTACCCCCCCGCTCGATCCTCCCCAGCACGATCGCCGCCGCCGCACCCACGACCACCGGGGGACAGGCTGCCACAGCGTCCAAAGACGGACGTCCCTTTCTCCTGTCGGACTCATCCCACGTGGTCGTCCTTTGAGGCGGGGAAGCATGAGCCGGGTAAACGTCTCCTCCTCCTCCTCCGAAGGAATGGGCGGCATTCGTTTGCCGCCCCCCGCCACACCCGCCACCGCCGCGCAGCACGCTATCCCGGCGGTGGACGGCGCACGGGCAAAACCCCCTCGGTGCCGCCGTCGAAGAGCTGCCGCACGGCAGCAGCACGCTATCCCACCGGTGGACCGCGCCCTGGCAAACCCCGGCGGCGCTTCCCGCAAGAGAGCAGCAGCGGCGACGGGCATTGCTTTGGCGCCGCTCCGGCCTCCCCTCATCAACAGTCCGGCAGCTGCAACGGCGCTCGGGCTTCATTGGTGTCGACTTCCTCCCTCCCCGCCGCGCCGTCTCCTTATCCGTACTGCCAGCGAAGGTCCCCTCCGGCGTCTGCACGCTGGCTCCATTCCCTCCTCCCGCCACCGCGCCCGTCGCCGCCGCTACAGCGGAGGCCCAAGTCTCCGCGGCCTCCCACGCTTCGATCGCCGCCCGCGACAGACACGATCCACCGCCGCCACCGAGCTGCTCGTGCTCGCCACCGGCGCCGTCCTCGCTTGATTCCGCCGCCGCCGCCGTGCGCTCTCCACTGGTAGTAGTAATAGTAGTATCCGAGTCGACGGTGGTGGAACAACACCGACGAGGAGGGCCGTCATCACACCGGTTGGTAGGACGATGGCACGACGAGGCTCGAGCGTCGAGGCTTGGACCGAGTCCATCGCCGAAGCAGCAGCAGCAACGGCGATTGCTTTCCCGGAGTGTGCTCCGACGACCGCCGCTGCAGAGCCAACAGGCAGCGGAGCCACCACCGTCAAGGAGGAGGACGTCGTCATCGTCTGAGGCAGCTCGCTCGTTCATGACCCAGTGTCGTCCTGCTTCTCCTCCTCCCCCTCCGGAGGCTGAACCGTAAGGAGTTTCCGCATCGTCGGTGGTGTCCCCTGCGGTTGCCAATGGTAGACCGGCTTCCTGTGGACACCTCCTCCTCCTCCTCCTCCTTGGGTCGCGAACGGCACCGCTCGATGCTGGTGGGGGGTCATCGCGCAGCTCCGCCACCGGTGTGCTCGCCGGGACCTTTGATTGCGGCGCAGGTATATTAGAGACATGACACTGCAGTAGTTGGGTTGTGGTGGGCAGTGTTGAAGAGGTGACACAACGCTCACTCCTGGACCTCGCTAGCGTCGCAAACTACCGGCAACATCGGACACGGACACGGCCCGGGCCTTCGGTCGTGATGCCGTAGTCTACAGGTGTAAGATATACAATAGGGTACACCAGTCTTGTGTGTATTCCGCTCGGGAACTGAGGGTGTCATGTGCACCGATATCGAAAAAACTAAGCACCAATTCGCGTGCACAATAAGGTTGTGGATCGTACAGCAGCAGATGCCGTGTACTTCGTGCCGCCAAGAATCACTACCGCTGTGTACGGAACTCTGAACTCTGCAGCAGACTCTGCGGGGCCGCGTAATCCGAAGGTGGTCCGTATGGCACATTTACACATACATACGGTAGATTGCACCACTGCACACAGAGCTCACACGGGGACAGCAGTGGCCTGCGCTGGAAACGATGCGTGGTTCGATCCTTGCTTCAGTTCCATGGTGGATTCCACGAGGCTGGTCGACGGTGAGCGCGAAACCATGCCCGCGACGGCAGCAGTGGAATGACAATGTGTGGCAAAGCTCCGCAGTAGTACGTATTCATTTCTGCCCGCAGCTCTATCTCTGTCTATCCTCTATGCGTACCCGTTGCACACCTGGTGACTGTTCATCTCGGACTAGGTGTTGCTGCTACCACGGGCCAGTCCATGAGATGAGCTCTATTCCTCTCGATCCTGCTGAAATCTCGCCCATATATATATTTTTTTTTTTCTGTTGTGGAACGGCGGTACATGGAAGGTTTGCCCGCTGTCCCAACGGGTGTACATCGCGGAATGCTGACATTTGATTGGCTGACCTTTCTACAATTCAGCAGGCACGTCGGTACCGTGATCCCATGATCCCATGATCCATCCGATGATGATATGTGTGACATCGGTTGCCTTGCCAACTTGCCCTGCCGCCAGGATTTCCCGCACACTGTACACACACGCACCTTGTCCACCACATACAACACCATACGCAGGTGAGAGAGAGAGAGGGCGAAGCTGACCGGGGCACATAAACGACTCAAAACCACCGTACTACGACGGTCTATGGTAAGCACAAAAAAAAGCGATCCGCCGTTGGGAGGAAAAATTGTTTTAGAGTCATTGTTTTCCATACGTAGCAGACCCAGCTGATACTACTGCTGGTGCCCATTCTACTTCAACTCACACAAGCCTGTGGGCGGCGAATGAAGAGACAGAACCGAGATATCCTTCCAAGGGGACAACTGCATAGCGGGGGGGATTGCACCCAGACAGACAGCGCTTCCGTGAGGTTGTTTACATCTGTCGGTTCAAGTTGTGGTCATCAACTCACCGACGAAAGTAGCGATGACATGACGGACCACAAACAATGAATGACACGTGCGGGATGTAGTGTAGTCTGGTGGTCTGCTAGGGCAGGCCGCTCTCATGTTTGTGCCCACCCTCCAACCTCCACCCCACCCACGTTGCGTGTCGGTGACATAAGAGACGAGAAACAGTATAGCACAAGGGCGACATGGGTGTTGTTTTGAAGTCTTTGCCCATGTTGGCCAGCGAGCGCCGGCGAGAGACACACAACAACAGGAGTGTCTGTACAAGTACAAGCCATAGCGCGTATGAGGCATCTCTTTACGTAGTACGAATGGATGCTGCTGGCAAACAATTGTACATCAAATCCTCTCCATGTTGTACATGCGCACATCTTGCCCCCGCCCGCCCACACCCCTTGTCGACTTTCAAGCTATGCGAGCACAGATGGACCAGCACCAGCGCTACCTCAACGGTGGGCGAAGTAGCACTACTACTTGTACCGCCATTCCTGCGTTGAAATGGCCGCCAACAAGGAATGCATCGCTCGTGCCGGGGTACCCAGGCAGCACCAGCAGCATCAGCCGCGCAAAAGTTGGGCCGGCATCTTGTCCGTCCGCGTCGGTGCTGCTCCAATGCGCCGTTCTCCGCGCAAGCCCGCCGGCGGGCGCAATCGCTCGAGGCGTAGGGAAACAACAACCTGCTACGCGTATGCACAAGGAGAGCAGATGCAGTTCGAGAGTGAACAAAGGGATGATGATGATCAGCCGATCGGCTGGGGGGCGTCAACGTACTAAAACGCTGTCGCGGAAGGCGCTGTCACCGGCACTTGTAGAGGTAAGGATATCATCGTACATCTATCGTATCGTCCGCTATGTACACAGCAGGCTAGTGTGCAAAAAACTAGCGTTGTAGGTCGCGTGTGTACACACTGCTTGAGGAACCTGCCTGTAATGGCCTATGGCACCACTTTATCCTCACATCCACACTCCATGCTTGTATCGGATGGTAGAGCTATCCTTTTCATCTCTTTAGATCTACATAGAAATATCGTTCCGTTGCACATACATACACAGCAGTAGTGTAGCAAGTTGCTGTGCCGCTCCATCCAACGACCAACACCAACCCCTGCTACTGATACTTTTTAGCTGCCTTGTGCGAGGAGTAGTGTCGTGTGTTGTATGGCTATCTACAAGTTCTCTGGGGCTTCATGCCGGCGCGGCTCCGGGGCACTTGATAGACGTGCTCCCTACGCTTTACCGGCATATTAGATTTGCGCACGACCTGCTATTATTATAGAACTGTTCCGAGCATTATAATAGAACTGTTCCGAGCATGAACAAGCATTGTCTATTCTGTTCTCAGAACCCAAACAAACACCGGAGTTTTACGATTCACATACGCATATGCATGCAGACAACATAAAGACGTCGTGCCCGTCGAGATATTTCCACATGCACACAACAGTAGACACAGCAGTAGTAGCGAAGGGGATGTGTCGAAGTCAGTCCTAACAACAGAGTGAGACGAAGAAACGGCTGGATTCTTCTGCGCTCAATTGTTTCGAGGAACAACAATAACGGGACAAATGAATGTCGTCCCAAGAACCTCATCTCCCCCGGCCAGAGATTTGGCAAACAACACACAACACACGCTTGTTCTCAAAAGTAGTGGGAAATACTAATACAAGCACAGAAAGCGTACGGTAAACTACGGAGTTTTCCCCCCCTATTCAGTGCAGATTCCCCCCCCCTCCATTATTACCTTTTTTTCGGCCTGCTGCGAAGCATGGTTTTGTTGATTTAGCCCCGGGATAGATCGTTTTAGATAACAAGAAGCAGATCCCCCCGGGAATTTCAATTTCCCCCCGGCGTACCAGTTTTGCTCGATGCTTTCGAATTTGGTATANAAAAAACGGCCACGCCGCTGAATCACACTCTCAATACTCTTCTCCCCGCCATCGTACTTGCTGCCCACACAGTATACATGAATACAGACCAAGCAGAATCGAGCCGAAACCCCGGCATGACACTCACAAATTAGCCTCATGCAACCACCATATGTTTCAGCCGAACATCTGCGACTAAACTAGAATATCTGATATCTAGATATAATAAATACTTAAGTATTATATAAGTATTCACGTATTCACAACTGTGCTCCACATAATCGGCAACCCATTGGAATTCGATTGTCACACTAAAAGCACGGCCAGCCGCACGGCAGCGCCCTTCCCGAATCCACATCGATTCGAATATTATAAATAAATGCGCCCGCGCACAATACCCCCATGACCGTACTTGTCCCACTAAAAAGAAAAACATGGCCGGTCGCACGGCAACGCCCCCCCCGAATCGATATTCGCATCGATCCGCTCACAAATATATAGTCTACGCGCCCGTGCACCAT